CAACAACAACAACAACTACTACTACTACTACTACTACTACTACTACTACTACTACTACTACTACTACTGACTCTGTCAACTCGCTCATGCGACCACCTGCCGAACATGCAAACCAAGGCACACTCGCCATGCCGAAGGCACCATTCCCGAGACTTCTCGTCAATCTCGCTCGAGAAAAGCAGCTCAACCTTGAGCTGCAAGTGCTCCCCGATGTGCTTCCTAGGCTTCTTAGCAGGCAGTGCTGTAGTGCTATAACGATGTTGAAGGCACTGCCAAAGTTGACTAAAAATCGAAAAATTGCGCCCCTGGAAAGCGAATGGGCCGCGGCAACAAAACTTGCAAACATCAGACTGAACATTGACGACTACTTCAACTACTTCAAATTCAAATGTAACACCCATGCTGGCGCCCAATCGCGGCCCTCCCACCGTGGCCACCCATGTTGCTTACCCACCCAAGCTGAAATCATCCAAAACACAAACAATCTACGAACTTGCAACCCAGCCACCCAAACCCGCAATGACTGGCGCTGTAGCCTTGCAATAATGTCGGCCAAGATGCATGATGTAGGCTGTGGTCCCTGCTCCCTCGCAGGCGCTCCACACGCGAAGCCTCAGATTGCACATTATCCCGGCACACGCTTGCTCAAACTGACCCTCCTCAACGCATAAATTCATCGATCATCAAGCCGCTCTATCGCTATTGCTTCTCAAACCGGGCAACTCAGACCTAACTACAAATGACCTGACCTGGCCACCAGCCTAGAGCATTCTAGCATTCCTCTCTTGGGAATGAGTGACACTGCCGCGGGGCGCTGGCTGCCAAAACAATGGAGCTGTGTTGAGCGTTCATTTCAACATTCAACGGATGGTCGACCTGAAAGATTGATTGATTTTTGAGTTAGGTTCAGAGTCCAGAGTCATTGTCATTGATGCCAGCTACGGTGCGCTGCAGCAACTGTCACCCCGTTGCTACGTCAGTGGAAAGCACTTGCCCATGGCCCATGCCGCATGCCCCCATGACCAATTGCCTTGTTGCAAAACTCTCACTGATGCCGATGCCTGGGCAACCGCCTGCAAAACTCGAAGCCCTCCTATCTGCCTACCTGGCTGATGTGTAATCCTCAACCTCGTGCATGGCCTCTTTTAGGCCTTGTTTCCATTCGCAGCCCGTGCGCCAGCAACCCTCACTGGGAAGAGCCTTCAGCAAACGGCTCAGGTTGAAGAAGAGCGCTGCCAGGCAAAGGCTCAGCCGGTTCAACTTCATGTGCTCCAGCACGGGGTCCATCTGGCTGTCCTGATCTTTCACATCCATGCAGATGATGTTCCGTGTCTCCCGTAGCATCATGCCGATTTTGTCAGCCGGCCCTGCCATCTCTGAGCGCTTTCGCTTTGGCCTGCCCTTGCCAGCTGCGGCCTCTTCGAGATTGACCTCGGGAGGTGTGACGGCCCAGCCCTGATCCTTCGCCACCAAGTTGTGGATCCACTGCTGCGCCAGATGCTGGGCCTGTGCCAGCTCTTCGTTGAACTTGTCCAGAGCCTCGGGCATGAACGTCATCAAGCGCCACATGGAGCTGAGAACCGCCTCCACCAGTGGGGCAAACTTCGGCGCAGCTGCCACCTGTCGCATCATGATGGGCTCTGCCACCAGAACTTGTGCCACGAGCTGGCGAAGGTCTGGCACGAACGTGTTCTTGCCCTGCGCGAACTGCTCGGTCCTGTTCTGCAACGCCTGCTGCACGGGCAAGTTTGCACCAGGGTCACCCGAGCCTCTGCCAGGGTCACCTGAGCCTCTGCCAGATCCACTGGCCATGTTGCGCCCAGCCCAGGCAAGCAACTGAGGGGTCACTTGAGCATGATTGGGCGCCGCGTGCAAATCTCAAACCAAGCCTGCCTGAAAGAATCCAGCAAACCACATGTTTCATCATGTCTCAAATGAGGTGCTTCTCAGGCCTCATGAGCCTCAGTGTCCGTTTACAAGCTAGCTTGCTTGGGAACTCTGACGTCTGAGCAGTTGCTCCCCACTCCCACCTTGAAAAACAACTCAGTCGAAGAAACAAGAGCAAGTTGCCGTGTGACCCGAAAAGTTGGACAATGGGTGAAGCTGAAGCTGAAAATAAATCTAACTCCCCGGGCCCTTCAATGATGAATAATCTGAATAATCCAAGAAACGGACCAGTCTGCTGGCAGTGGGCCCGATCCACGCCAGCGCGCTCCAGGTACCTTGTCAGACTGGCTGAGATGTTGCGAGTTGCGTGAGATGCAAACATGCTGGCGCTGCACTGACTCCAGTTGCTCATGGACTCATGTCAAACTCATCTGAAACTTCACTTTCTGACAAGCACCCCTTCCGTACCCACAGCTGCACTTGTCAAGTCGAGTGGCCGTGGTACCCACGCTTTTGGAAACACAGTGAGCAGCTTTCCTCCGCCAACTTCTCCATCATCCGCCATGACACGCGACCCCCTAGCTTTCGCTTGCCTGTTTCTAAATCATGGCGGGGGTTTATGGTATCAGTATCAGTGTTGACATATTGACTGTCACTGCCTGCCGTGGCTGTTCAACATGAGGGGGCCAAGCTGTGTCCAGAATGGAAGCTGCTCTGAACAAACCTTGTCACCTGTCTCATCTGTCCCAGATATGCGCACTCAAGCTGCAAATGTGAATCGCCACTGACTTGCCTCACTCAAGGCAAGTTGTGCAACCTTTAGTTGCAATTTGGACCTAAATTAGGTCCAGTTCATGTTCAAAAAAAGTGCCAGTGCAGAATGCTGGAAAACCATTATTTGGCAGCTCTGGCAAGGATAATGTTACAACAGCCATATATTTACATGGTTCCCTTCGCTGGCCACAACACAACTTGTTTCGTGGCCCTGGCGGGCTCCGTTAGAATAACAGAAGCACCCAAATAAAGAGGCCAAGTTTTGAAATAACACTCGACTACTTGAGTTCTGTAAACAGGCCTTTCATGACTTTCTGGCAAAACATGATCTCCGGCGCCTTCTGGCAGTAGAGGACGAGCGAGGAGTGAGGGATCTGAAATGCCTTGTTGACACTGGCTGGCACTCAAAGCTCCAAAACAGCAGAAAGGGATGTTCAAGAATATTATGTCTGCAATTTTGTCCGTTTTGGTGGGAAACAAAACAGTCTTTCGGTCTCGTTTGAACGAAGACTGATGTTCTTGTAACGAAGAACCACTGAGTGCAGCTCGAGTCACCGGAATATCATCGCGACGGCCCTCTTTGCCCAGGTTGAGTCGCTTCGCCTTGGCGTTGCCTTTCCTGCTCAGCGCCTTCTTAGCCCTCAGGCCCGACAGCACGGAAAGCCTCTCAGTACGCCTCTGGGAGCAGCTGAAGCAGCAGATTTCGAAGCTGGAAGATGCTTGGCACACGTTGGAGTCATTGTTCTGTCAGAGTCGTTCTTTTGTCTTTCTTGTTTTGGAAGCCGGTAGATTGGTAGCTGGTTGGTTTTGTGGTTGTTGGGGGCTTTGGTAGGTGAGGTTCCGGTGTCGAACGGATGGGTAAGACCGTGCTTACTCCTGTGAAGTACTGTTTCTCATTGAGTCTGCGTGGTGGAATGCTTGTTTCTTTTCGAATCTTTTCGCGCAGATCGCCCTTTGAGGATGGCAAAGCGGTGGAGGTCGTCGCCGAAGCTTGACTGATTTGTGATATGCTTGCCAATCATGATCCGATTTCGTAATTGTTTGTTCATCCTGTCTAGGCTTTCTTTGCTTCAATCTGAGTAGGGTGGACATGGCAAAACTAGGGGTCTTGTTGCGAGGAGACCTTTACCTTCATATGAGCGAGAACCTGCATGGCCTCTCGTCCCACGCCCCTTGCAACTGCCGATGTAGAGACGACTGCGTGTGAAAGAAGTCCGAGCCGCAGAGATGCCGAGTTGCGCTATCTCTTGGCAGAAAGCACTGCGAAGTCGCGACAGCAAATTAATACCCTCCATTACCCTCCCATCCACAAACAGGGAACGCACCAGAGGGTCCATTTCAAGGGAACATAGTCTTCCAGGGTTCCATGTTACTGGATGGGAGGGTAGTTCAGTCTCGGACTTGTGGAAGGATTGTTTGATGGCAATGATCGCGGCCGCTTTTTCGGGGTGAAGACGTGTTCTCAGAGCTTTTGTCGGATAGAAGGACCCTTTCTGACCAACATGCCGAGCCTCCCGTTGTGTTGGGCGTTTTGATGATTTCATGGACGACAGGAGCATTCTGCGCAGTTCAAAGTCAGATCATATGGATTTGTCGGAGGGACGCACCAGAATAAAGGCGGACAAATGCAGTCGAACCATCTCGAGGAGAGTATTTCAGGAAGATGACGTGTTCAACTGATTTGATTCAAGAGCAAGAATGTCTACAACATTCGGTTGCTGCTGTTGATTATTGCAGGTTTTTTCGATGGATACATGGGAGACCTAGCACGTTGGCTTATGTCGTAGGATGAAAGGAGTTCATATGTGAGTGTCTACAGGTTGACTTCTCGATGGATTGACTCCGTCAGGAGCTCAAACAGCGTGTTTCTCTCGATGAAACAGCTAGCGCCTTGCGATTTCTGGCATGAGCAGTTGCCTTTGCCAGTTGATAGTAGCTATTGGTCCTCAGGCACGCGGGACTTCCAACTGCCCTTCTTCCTACAAGGGGAAACCAAACAAGAGTGACGATTTCCCGCAGGATTGTAGACAGCTTCTTTTTACAACCACTTTTTTGGTATGAAGGGCATCTCCTTGAAAGTGATAAAGAAATCGTCCTAGGGAGTATCACTTACATCCTATTTCCCAGCACAATGTCCCACAGTATGCACCGCCAGACTCAACTAACCCTCCCGCTGTTTTGTCTTTGTTCATGTTCCCCTTTTAGCACCGTGTTGTTGTTTTGCAAACTGCCCCAAAAAAAGTGTGAAGATCACCAACCATAATTTGGGTCGCAACCCATTTTCCAGTTGGGATTTTGAGGGAAGCACTCGGCGTCGGGCGGCTTCCGTTCTTGTTCAGGTCTCCACTTTGCTGGAGCCCAGTGGGGTCCTCGGAGTTTTGGAAGGCCGGCGATCTATCAGGGGCCGGGACCTTCCAGGAAATGGTCCCCAAAAGGAAGTGAAGAAGGGCCCTAGACCCTGTTCGTGACATAGGGGACCCGGCAAAGAGATAGCTGAATAACGTGGATTGGCCTACAAGGAACTCAGAGAGGAACTCAGGGGGGCCCCTAGACCCTATTCATGTTTCTTGTTGCGCCTATCGGGATCAGCCTCTTGGGCCCGTGACAACCATTGGATAATCCATTCGATGTTGGGGAGTTTTGCAAAAGGGGGAATTTCCTCAAAAGGTGGGTATTGACAGGGAAAATGAAGGGGCACTATGGCCTACCTACCAATGGCCTTGCCCCCAATTCAGATATAATCCTGCCAGTCTAGCATTTCACAACATTTGTTCAACATAATTCATAACAGAACCTCAACTCAAGATTTAATACATAGATTTTACAAATAGTTTTTCAAATTTTCAAAATATATTTTTCCAAATTTCTAAAATTTCCAAATCAAACATTGGCATACATGTTGCAATAATTTAATTGTAAGATGTATGGTGTAAATTCAATTCATATTGTTTCAATATCAACAGGTTGTTCTTCAAAATAGTAGTTGGTGTTTCCTTTTGCTTCTGATTGTTAGTATGCTTCTGAGTTTTTTTATGTTCCGACCATCTACATTTTTTTTAAACTTTGCACTGGCAAATATCACAAAATACTTCAATTTGATTATAGACTTTGCTAAATTCTGTCATTCTGGCATTTATTTCTTCCTTATGTTCTTCACGGTATTTTTTGCTTTGCTGATGTCTTTGTTCCTTATTCTTCTGGTGTTTTCCCTTTCCTTTTCCAAGCACCTTATACAATATGCATTTATTCCGTTGAATTCTTCAACTGGTTTAGTTGCATCACATATTTTGCAATACTGCTTCTCCACAATTTACTAAGGTAATTTACCTTTGAACCTATATCATACCCTAAATCCAAAAATATAATTTTCCAAATTCCCAAAATATAAATCCCCGTAATTTCAAAACATAAGTCTTACAATGTGTTTTATTGTAAGGTTTATGGGTTGAATTATAATTTAAGTTAAGGATAGTAAGTTAATTGATTACTATTAAATTGTGTATATATCTTACTTCTTTCATACATCATTTAAAAAAAAAAAATAATATTAATATATCTAACTGTGTTTTATCATTACACTTTTTACTTTCAATAAATAGTTTGATATTTTCTTTCACATCTTCTCCTTCTTTTTTTGATACAACAACATCCATAATATGCGGTCAACCATTTCATATTTGTTCTTACTGATTTTAAGAAACTGTTTAACATAATCATAAGGTGGGATATTGTAAACCGCAAGAACTATTAAGATGTCATCTTCAACATTTCTATTGTTATTTTTTTTAGATTTAAATGACATTTGATTAATTCTTGATTATATCTCCAATTTCTACAATTTTTACATTCATCTTCTATATCCATTGAATAGTTAATAATATTATTGACTATTCCATTAGGTAAGTTCAATTTGTATAACTCCGAGTGTTACCTTGAGCGAGCGACTGGGATGCTTTGCTGATGGCCCCTGGAGAGAATGAGGTGTTTGTGAATTTGTGAACGGCCCTTCTGCTTGAATTGTCACAGGAAAAAACTGCTCAAAGCCACAAAGTCTGGCAAGCCCCTAGGAAGTGCTTCAGCTTGGTTCTCTTTGTTGCCAACGGGAGGTGTCTTTTTGATTGGGCTGGTTTGGTTAGAAAGATGGGTTCCACTGGCTTAAATTGGTTTCATTCCCTTTCCCAGCACCATCGATTGTTCCTGTGTGTTGCCCAGTTGTCCAGCAGATTCCGCCCTTTTTCCATTTGTTTGGGGAAGGGTCCCCCTTCAAACTCAATCAGCCAAGGATGCCCTTTTTGTCCTATGGCCACTGGGCATCTGAGAATGTCTCGAACAAAGATCGGGGCCTCGCCAACGAGCGAAATGTCCCCTGCGTAGTTCTGATCGACGTAGGCATCGCGGCTCTAGGTGCAAAGCGGCGCGGAAGTGCTCGCCGGGGGCTTGGCTTTGGTCCAGGCCTGGGCTTCGTACGCCGAGTCCCGCTGTCCCTCTCAAGCGCCAATGTAGATGTTGTTGCTGTTTTTTCCCGGACTTCAGGAAATTCTGGATTCATGCTAGTGTTCTTTGGTTTCATTCTTCGCGTCCTTTGTTTCATCCCGGGGCACAGACATGGAGATTCAGAGTCCAACACGGTTTGGAGTCTTCAGGCCAAAGTTTCTTTCACATGGCCAGGATTACATTGACTATGTTCTGGGACCGTGACGGTCAGCAGATTCATTTGGTTGCACATTGCAAGGAGCTCCCTGACTTGGGGATACGACGAGCTAGCTCAATGAAGGTCACCTACTTGAGGTTTCCTAGCGTTTTGCGTTTAAAGCTTAGGTCAAGAATCGAAGGGAAGGTGAGGCATTCGTAATTTGACTGCACTTAGACACAGACATGCCCGCCTACCCACCCACCCACCCACTTACCCACCCACCCACCCACCCACCCACCCACCCACCCACCCACCCACTTACCCAGCCACCCACCCACCCACCCACCCCCACCCCCACCCCACACCCACACCCACACCCACACCCACACCCACACCCACACCCACACCCACACCCACACCCACACCCACACCCACACCCACACCCACACCACACCACACCCACACCCACACCCACACCCACACCCACACCCACACCCACACCCACACCCACACCCACACCCACACCCACACCCACACCCACACCCACACCCACACCCACACCCACACCCACACCCACACCCACACCCACACCCACACCCACACCCACACCCACACCCACACCCACACCCACACCCACACACCCACCCATCCACCCACCCACCCACCCGCCCACCCACCAACACCCACCCACCCACCTACCCACCCACCCACCCACACCCACTCCCACAACCCCGCAGCACACGCACACATGTTTGAGAACTTGCGCTGCGGACGTCCAATTGGCGAATTTTTTGAAAGTCACAGACATGGGAATGTGTCGAAACATGAACCCGTCCATTCTCTTAGGCCTCCAATCTAGGCAAACAGTTGGTGTGTTCATGGCTAAAGCTGTTTGCTTGGAGGTTTGGAATCTACTCAAAACCCGGGTGCCCTTTTAGATTCGATGATATATAATATACTTGCTTTTGGGGCTCATTTTGGTATTGTGACTTAGTTGTCCCGTTGGCGAAGAAACCGCCCAGGCGCAGAGGAAAATGAGCGCCCCGGCAGCAGAGTACCAAACCGTTGCCTTCCGCATGGTTTGCAGCCCGAACGTCCAAAACCAAATTTATTGTATCTTCGCTAAGGAGGTATCAAAAAATACCTTGCTGTGGATGGACGGTGGATGCCACCCAATTTGACAACTGGGACAAGCCACCTACCAACCGGTGCGGGATTTATGTCCATCTACAGTAGTTTCAGTTGGGTGAAAGTAGATGCTTGCTTTCTCCCTTTCATTTGTGTTGCCCCCTTACCCCAATAAAGGACATTGTCCGTACAGAGAGGGGGGAGGGGAAAGGAATCCACCCGCCGAAGCGCCGAGGCTTCGCTTCGGGTACTACGAAGCCGAGGAGAAGGTTGTGCACGCTCCCGACCAGGTGCTCTTCCCATGGGGAAACGTGTCGCGAAGCGAGACATGAGGTCATGAGGTTTTGCCCTCATTGGTACATTGTGTAGTATTGCTAGGATTCCCTCGACAAGGCTTTTCAGCAGAGCACGGAGATATCAGCGGGCGTACAGCGATCCTTGGACAAGCCTTGGACAAGGAAAGGAGAAACGCGTGAGATAGCTCATAGAGAGATGATATCAATGCAAGATCGTTCATCCACCGCATAGACCCGTGTTTCGCAGAAAGAGGGGCCCGGTCTTTTATCATTTGAGAGAGAACATGTTCGCCAGAAACCAGCTGGACGTGAGGAACACACACAGGGTTGCCGAATCCAAGAGCCCGGAGCACCTGTATCTCCATTCCTCCGTCCCTGAGTTCCTTGGCTTGTTCAAATCTTGGAAGACAGTTTCAGTGGACAAGTTTGGACTTGTTTGGTGAATCCGCCGTGAAATTCTGGTCCCGGCCTGGGCTTGACTGACACCTTTTGCAACTTGCAGGGCCGGCCGCGCCGCCGATATCTGCTCAAGGCTCGGCCCAAAGACAGATGCCGGCATAGCCGGCGATGCCCGTAGACTGACAAGTCCTCTTTATATCCAATTATGATACGTGTTTTGATGCGAGTCTTCTTCCCCTTCGTGGCCGTCATTTTGGCAGTTGCAGAACGTCCTCGGCTTGGCCAAGAAGCACTGGACGTCGATGAGTTGTTGGCACCTGGAGGCGTCTAGCGGTTGTTCAGAACAGCGTCATATTGCAGGTGGCATATTGTTTGTAACGAAACTGATCCTGCATAGGACTTGTAGTTTAGCACTGCTAAGCTGGTTTTAAACACAGATGCCCCAGGAGAAGCAAAGGCAGGCTGTCCACAATGGTCAGCGTTGAATGCCGTTTTACAGAAACTGGGCATCGATCCGTCGGTTGTGGGAGGAAAGATCAAGTGGATCCTTGGTCGAGTTTCATAGTATTCTTTTGATTTGCGCGGCTTTAGGTTTCATGTTGTTCTCATGCACAGGTCTCAGATTCTACACAACCGTGATGAAACACAGATTTGTCTCGCATGTCATTAATTTGCTTGGTGCGGGCGACCGGTGTGGACCACGATTGGAATGTTTCGTCATGCTTGCCGGGAAAATAAGAGACTTGGACCAGTCCAGGGATCGAACATAGGGGTTTGTGAAGCTGCAACACTCTGCCAAAAGCTTGAAGCCAAGGGAAGGGTGCGAAGTCACGGAGATCGACCTGGAGAGAGACTTGGATGTGAACGGGACCCTGGACGAAGAGATCGGAAAGCTTCCATCTTTGCGGCACTTGAGCCTCCAAAACACCAAGGCAGCAGGAGATTTGGCCAGCTTAGCAAGCAGCTCCCAGCTGCAGCGGCTGGACCTCGACAACACACAGGTCTCCGGGGACATCAGCAGCCTAGCAAACAGCCCCCAGCTGCAGCGGCTGGACCTCGACAACACACAGGCCTCCGGGGACATCAGCAGCCTAGCAAACAGCTTGCCCTCAGCAACACCCACGTCTCCGGGGACCTCCGAAGCCTAGCAAACAGCCCCCAGCTGCAGCAGCTGGCCCTCAGCAACACCCACGTCTCCGGGGACCTCCACAGCCTAGCAAACAGCCCCCAGCTGCAGCAGCTGGCCCTCAGCAACACACAGGTCTCCGGTGACCTCCGCAGCCTAGCAAACAGCCCCCAGCTGCAGGGGCTGCTCCTCAGCAACACACAGGTGTCCGGTGACCCCCGCAGCCTAGCAAACAGCCCCCAGCTACGGCAGCTGGATCTGAGAAACACACAAGTCTCCGGTGACATCAGCAGCCTAGCAAACAGCCCCCAGCTGCAGGAGCTGTTCCTCAGCACCACACGGGTCTCCGGAGACATCAGCAGCCTAGCAAACAGCCCCCAGCTGCAGGGGCTGCTCCTCAGCAACGCACAGGTCTCCGGTGACCTCCGCAGCCTAGCAAACAGCCCCCAGCTGCAACAGCTGTTCCTCAGCAACACACAGGTCTTCGGTGACATCAGCAGCCTAGCAAACAGCTCCCGGCTGCGGCGTCTGGGCCTCAGCAACACACGGGTCTCCGGAGACATCTGCAGCCTAGCAAACAGCCCCCAGCTGCAGGGGCTGTTCCTCAGCAACACACGGACATCAGCAGCCTGCAAGGCCTCAAAATGATCCATTACACCTCGGTCTTTGGTGACATCGGCGTCCTCACCGAGTGGCCAGAAATCGAGTCGGTGGACCTATCTCGCACAATGGCCACCGGGCGGCTTACAACTTCCTGGCGGGGCCGCTGTGCACTTTTGGGGTCCTTGAAGCTAAGCCACAGCCAGGTTGAATTCTTGCCGACTGCTGAGGATCAGATGGATTTTCAGATGATTCACACGCAAGAAAAGAAGGCCATCTTCCCAAAGCTGAGGTTGGTGGACATATCTGGATGTGCTTTGCGGGGCAGCGTCAAAGACATGTTGCAGCCTCTCTTGGCTTCTGGGGTTCTAGCCACCATCAAGGCTGACGGCTGTGGCCTCCTTGGAAGTCTTCCCCAGTTTGCTTACATGTCCGCTGTTGTTGATGGGGAATCTTGGGCTTCTTGGGCTTCTCCTTTGGCGAGGTCCTTGGTGAGTCTGGATGTGTCGTCCAACGAAATGTCCTTCATCGAGGAGATCCCACAGAGTGTGCAGGCAATGCTGCTAGCAGACAACCCGTCAGTAGCCTTTGCAGCCGGGGTTCTTGCCAAGGCTGTATCCGACAACATATTCCTGGACTTGCAGAATGTCACTTTGGAGAACAAGACTGAATCTTGATTTCGATTTATGCCAAAATATTCATCAGCATATGCGAATTGTTCCATCAACATTGTCCAATCATTTTCCCGACCATCGAGGGCACTTTTGGGTGCCCGTTCATCCCTGGGACTCACCTGCGTTCTAGATTCTAAAGCAAGCAACATATTACTCTTGAAATACTTCTGTTCGATTGCCTATCGCTGATCTTTCGAGACCTTCAGTCAATCCCTTTTCCGTGGACTCGTTGATCGCGGGGGTCAGCTCACCCGTACGGACAAGCGCTCCTCGGTGAGCGTCGAAGGTGGATTCGCATGTTTCGAGTTCACTTCAAAAGCACTGCAGATCACGCCGTCGCAGTTTCTGCCGAAGGAGTTGTGCAGCTGTTCTCCTGGCTTCAATGGTACGGGAGCGGACTGTAAGAAGTGCCCTTCGAACTACTTCAATGGAGAGTACAACGGATCTTGCCAGAAGTGTGAGGAAGGAAGCACTGCACCTGAAGGATCCACATCATGCATCTGCACCGTGGGCGAACGCTACAATGACAACGGCACGGAGCGCGGTGGATGTGTTACTGGGGAGGGCTCCATCGTCAGGTCCAAAGACGGGAAGGATGAGAAAGATTGCCTGCCATGCCGCGACTTGAATTTACTTTGCCCAGAACCAGGCATGCGGCTCTCCTCAGCCCTGCCGGAAGTGGGCCATGCCCGCCTTCAAGAGGAGGACACCGCGGCAATTCGCTGTCTTCCTCCGGAGTCCACGAGGTGCAACGTGTCCGCCGGCAATGGTTCAAGCACTCTCGGCTGCGCAGGTGGCTACAGCGGCATTCTCTGCTCGGATTGCGCGGCAGGCCACTACGCCGCCAGCAATACGTGCGAAGTGTGTCCAAGCAGAGATGCCATGCCAGAGCTCTTGCACATCGCCATAGCTGTGGCCATTACTTTGACAGTAGCTTCAGTGTTGGCCTTGTGGCTACAGCGGAGAATGCCGGGAGAAGCAAAACTACCCGAAGCATCTGTGCTATCTGCGCTCAAAGAGCAGATCAAGGGGCAGGCGCCCATCCTATTGCAAACATGCCAGGTGTGGGCTGTTCTTGCCGTGCTTGCCAAAGAAGAACGAGAAGAACAAGCGCAGAGTTCAACATCCTTGTGGGAACTGCCGTATATAGAGGTGTGAAGAGGGCTTGGAAGTAATTACTTAGAAATTTAGCCCCTGCAATCTACAGTTTTCAAATGTTGTCAAATGCATAGTTGTTTGCAAGCCAATTGTTATAGATAGAAAATTGTGTTTTCTGGAACTTTCGACTCTGGCCAGGTTCTGCAATTTTCAGTTGCAAGCCTGAAGAATGGCCTGAACCTACAATGCCGCTTTGACGCTGCGAGCGTTCGCTTGGCTTCCGCCCTGATCACGCCGGTCGCTCCGGTTTTGCTTTTGGTTTCCTGCCTTGCTGTGGAAGTCTACAACGGATCTGGCATCCGTGCTGCTTTGAAGGCCGGGCTCATCTCCGACATGCGTTGATGTAAGGTTCGAGAATGCAGGTAATGAGGTCTTCTGTTTGTTGTTGTAGATTTAAAATACACCTGGAGAACGAGAGCGGACCCCTCCAAAGAGCTAATATCAGTGCATGTATCGTGAAAAGTGCAGACGAGACCTGCCGAAAGTCGGAAGCGTAAGCCAGGCCTGTTGCACGACACAATCCACAGACCTTGAGATTGCAAAGGCCCGCTTCTCGCACGTCTTACGACGCAATGCCCGCAAAACGCAGACCGACCCAAAATGTTGCGGGGAGAGACCCTTTTTTCAGCAGCACTAGTTGTGGACACGGCATTCGTTCGCTGATTTGGGCATTATTGAACCCCAAGCATTGCTTTCAATGCGTTCCCACGGCCGACAAGCATTCTATTCAAGCGGAGTAGTACAGCAGCGGAAGGCAGGCAGCACTTGTAAGGGCAATACTTGTGCGACAGGACAATGGAGCGGTCCCTGCATTTACGCTGCCGTCACGCTTTCCTGACCTTTCGCGCCAAAAGAAGGTTTTCGCGCAAAGCCGACGCCACGCAACAGTCGCGCAACACCTGCGCCACATATTCTGTTCACGCTGCGCCCACATTCGCCCAACCGTTCGTCTTACTCGCAATGTTTCTACAACCGTGAGGCCGCTGACGCACACACGCACACACACGACTCTCAGAGACTAACCATAATAAGTACTGTGCAGCTCGGGTTCTCGCCAATCGGGCTCGAATGAAGTACAGCCTCAAACAGATTCACCACGGAATCATGCTGACAACAGTCAGTTTACAAGTAAACGTGAAAAGACAATTTGCCATGAGATTATTATTATAGGATTCAAGTTTTCGGCAGCAGCTCTTCCCGTTTGCTTTTGCACCCATTTAGGCAGCGGCATCTGCAAATAGTGCGAGGCCGCCGGAAAGCAGGCTGCGTTCCCAATGATTTGGAGAGACCCGCAAGAAGTATCAAGTTGTCCTCATGGTGCCTATACCTCCCACCTTCCAAAGAATAGCACCGTCAACAAAAAGTAATTGTAGCTGACTTTGTGCAGCTACTGAAGCGTGCACCCTGAAAGGGTCGTTCCGGAAAGAAACTCTTTGCAGCCATTTCTCAATCCGATTCGGGTTGCTCGTCGTGTCGTTTTGCCGCAGGTGCTCACGATGTTGTACATTGGGGGGGCTTCCGCGACATCAAAGCTGTTAAGCTGCCAAAGAGCAGACGGCGCAGGCAATCTCCTCCCGACCGAGTTCCTCGTAGGTTTTCGCTTTTGAGTTTTTTTTTGGGGTTTATTTTTTTTCGGGTGAATATTGGGTAAAAGGCTGAGTTGACTAACCAAAGAGTGCGGCCAGGGGCAGTGTGGGACACTGTGAGAACATGATGGTCTTCTTAGTTTCGATGGAATTATTTTCATGTGATCCCGAATGTTGCTCCACACGAGGCTTACTTTCCGCAAGTCGCTTCCTCACCTTCGTTGCCATCATGATCCTCTTGGACCCTACGTGGATGCGACAGGCATGGCCACTGCCTTTTGCTACGGCGTTGTGGTTCCGGGATGCCTCATATACCTGTATGTCAGACAGCACGTGGTGCTTTTACCAGGCCAGGAGACTGTCGCTTTGGCAGCAGACCATCGTGATTTGGAAGTGTGTTTGGTGCAAACAAGAAGCTCTTCACCAGCGACTTGCCGGCGCATGGCGCAACATTTTGACATATTTTGACGCATGACATGAAGAAGTGTTCAACCACAGTCTGTGGGGGGGGGGATGAATCGTGTACTTTTCGTTTGCAATCTTTGAGCTCAGCTTTCGAAATGAGGATCTTTTTCCTTTTCCATCCTTGTGGAGCAGCATGCTGCATGCTATGGCGCTGAAATTTGCCGTGCCAAGGACAAATTGGCCCTCAAGCATGCCACGTTCACACGGCGTTTGGTGGCAGCAGCTGCGGCCTACATCTCCGTACTGATGCGAGGTCGTGTGACTGTGGAATTGAAGGATGACACGGTGATCGTGAAGCCCATCGCAGGCGGGCAAATGATTTGTTTACGTTTTGAGAACTGATATGGTTCTCTGTTCTTTGCTTTTTGGGCCATACCGCGAGTGAATAAGGTGATTCCTCTCGAAGTGATGAGCTTCACAGCGCCGGTGCGATCAGTCTGGTTGCCAAAGTTGACGTTGGCTCCTTGCAGAGCCGAAAGCTTGCTGAAGCCATGATGGACCGGTGCATTTTGGAAGAAAACGAAGCAGAGGAGCGAGTCTTGGCAGGCTCCAAAGACATATTCCTCAAGTACGCTCGTTGCCGAAATGTTTACATGGAAATCCTGCAGAAAGTTTTCGCCATCGCGTTGGTGTCAGTGGTAGGCAGTGAAGACGGCGTACAACTGTCAGTAGCGATCACTTTGCTGATGGCCGCAACAAGCGCAATGGTGCAGCCGTTTTTGCAGCCACAGGCCAGGAAGTAATCGATCTGCCAGTGATATTAGGTTTCAACATGTTTCAACCATTCAAGCACGGGCCCTAAGTCAGAAATCGGAATTCATGTCGGTTTGTGTTTCCTTGCGACAAGAAGGAGTCCTGTTCATATTTGGAACTTTGTATGCTCAACCCCTGGAGATCAACGCTCTCCAATGCTGCTGCTTTCTGTGCTTGGCTCTGGCGTCAGTGAGCTTCAGCTGTCAAATGTTTTGGCTACTTGGCAGTTTTTGCTGGAACCGAAGACTTGGCACCGTGACATTAAACACCTTTCCAGGGCCTTGATGGTTTTCTTATCAGAAACCGATCCCGGTTTGTTTCTTGGGAAGCGGCAAGGGTGAGATAGCGTGAAGATGCACTCGACTACTTGAGTTCTGTAAACAGGTGTTTCATGACTTTCTGGCAAAACATGATCTCCGGCGCATTAGAGGACGAAGGAGGAGTGAGGGATCTGAAATGCCTGGCTGCCACTCAAAGCTCCAAAACAGCAGAAAGGGATGTTCAATAATATCATGTCTGCAATTTTGGCCGTTTTGGTGGGAAACAAAACCGTCTTTCGGTCTCGATTGAACGAAGACTGATGTTCTTTTAACGAAGAAACGCTGAGTGCAACTCGAGTCACCGGAATATCATCGCGACGGCCCTCTTTGCCCAGGTTGAGTCGCTTCGCCTTGGCGTTGCCTTTCCTGCTCAGCGCCTTCTTAGCCCTCAGGCCCGACAGCACGGAAAGCCTCTCGGTACGCCTCTGGGAGCAGCTGAAGCAGCAGATTCCAAAGCTGGAAGATGCTTGGCATACGTTGGAGTTGTTGGTCAGCCAGATTCGTTGCTCTTTTGCGTTTCTATTGAGCCGGTTGGTCAGATTGGTAGCCGCTGGTATGTTGGATGTTGGGGCCTTTACAATGTAAGGTCCTGGTCTCGAACGGATCGGTAAGACCATGCTTGCTCCTGTGAATTACTTTTTCTCATTGAGTCTGCGTGGTGGAATGCTTGTTTCTTTTCGATTCTTTTCGCGCTGATCGCCCTTCAAGGATGGCAAAGCAGTGGAGGTTGTCGTCGAAGCTTGACTGATTTGTGAAATGCCTGCCAATCATGATCCGATTTCATATGTTTTTGTGTTCATGCTGTTTGCTTGGGTCTAAGTAGGGCCAGGGGTCTGATTCCGAGGAGACCTTCACCTTCATATGAACGACAACCTGCGTGGCGTCGCATCCCACCACGCTCCTTGCAACTGCCGATGTTTGTAGAGACGACTGTGTGCGAAATAAGTCCGAGCTGCAGGGATGCCAAGTTGAGTTATCTCTTTTTGGGCAGAAGCCACCCCGAAGTTGTGACTGCAAATTTATTATTAGTTCAATCTCGGACTCGAGGCGAAAGGATTGTTTCATGGCAATGATCTTGGCTGCATGGTATCATGACGCAGGTGCAGTATCACGTGTTCTGAGAGCTTTTGTCGGAGGACAATTTGACTAGAGCAAGGACATCCTATTTTCCACCAGCATGTCCCACTATTCCCCCTTTTATTTGTTTGGGTTTTGCAAGTTATTGGCCTAGACAAGTCGGCTTCGAACCCTTTTGATCAGGTCAGCGAATCTCTGGAGCCTGGCACGGGCCCTCAGAGTCGACGGGAGTTGAACCAGCTCAGTGATGTTTTCGATTCGGTTTGGGACCATCTTACACCTTCCCTAGGGTTCAGCCCCCAAAGAATGCACAAGGACCTAATTTGGATTAGGCAAACAATGGTGGTTATATGAACCCCCTTTGTCTTAATGGTATTTTGAACCCCAGGGTCTTTACATCTTTGCCCATGATGAAAGCCTGCCTGCCAGCACCCCCAACCACTGCTTGTTTGGACAGTGAGGTTGCATGTTGACCAAGGTAGGGAGCAGGGATCGGCTCTATTTTCATGCGCCAAACAAGAAGGCAAATGCCATGGATGGCCAAAACGCGCTTCGCACCAATTTTGGGACGGATGAAGCCCCATGAATACTTGGATAAACTACCTACAGGTGCAGGTGTTTCTTGTCCAGCAGCAGGGGTTGATATCAGTAGTTTCCGCATATTTGACCTTCAATCAGCATGCGTTTCAAACGGAGTTACTCTTAGTTTGACTTTCCCCTTTTGCTGGACTCAAGACCTGAAGGCCCAAGAGGGTTTGCAACTGGGAAGTTTTCAGGTTCGAAGCCTGCCCGAGAAAAATCGGGTGCCCGTCCAGCGCCTGACTTTGTTACTAAAAAGAATCAGAACATCCTACAAAAGATGCCAGTTACTTACATGGTGACGGATTTGTTGGGGTTGTGCGTGCTGCGCGTGCCGCTGGCATGAGTCCATGTCCCTCCCAAACTCACCAACGTTGACCAGATGTTACTTGACTTCAACCAGTGACTGGGATGCTTAGCTGATGGCTGGAGCTTGTTCAAATTCTGGGTTTTCCTTGTTCCTACCGGTGGGCCACACCTGGATCCCAATGATCAGAATAGGTCGCCAGCCATGGTCTTTTCAAGTCTTGTGCCCTTACCGCCATTCATGCAGCTCAACGGGCTTGTCTTCCGCGGTTTTTGCGGTTGTGTTTTAACACCTCACTGGGACTGCCTCCTTTGACGAGGCCGGCAGGGTGAACTCTGGTCTGTGGGATCCTTTTGATTGGTTTGGTTGGAAAGGGCCATCTGGTTTGCCTTAGTGTTGCCCACTTGCCCAGATTCCGCCCTGTTTCCCTGTTTTTGGGAAGGGTCCCCCTTTAAACTCAACCAACAAGCTCAACCAACAAAGGATGCCCTTTTCTTCCCATGGCCGGGCATCTTGTCCTTTCTAATTGGTTTGGTTGGAAAGGGCCATCTAGTTTTCCTTAGTGTTGCCCAGTTGCCCAGTGGATTCCGATCTGAGAATGTCAGAAAAGCAAAACCAGGGGAGTCACCAACACAAAGCATGTCCCATGCGCCTTGCTCGAGGGGGCAGGGGTCGTGAGGTGCAAAGCGGCGCGGAAATGCTGGCCTGGGTCCAGGCTTGGGCTTTGCACGCCGGGTCCCGCCCGCCCCCTCAACAGGGCCAATGTAGATGTTGTTGCCGTTGTTGTTTCCGAACTTCGGGAAATTATGCTGATTCTTGTGGATTAATCTTGTTCTTTGGTTCCATTCTTCGCGTGCAAAGAGGGGCCAGCGTGGAGACATGGATTCCTCGTATCTTTCAATCGAACCGTGACAACCTGTTCATGAGCTGCAAATGGCTTCAGCCCCCCGAGGCACGGAAATGGAGATTCAGAGTCAATGTGCCAGGGGTTCCGACGGTTTCAACATGGTGTCTTGGGGCCAAGGTTTCTTTCACACGACCAGGACTACATTGACTATATGGGACCGTGACAGTAAGCAGATGTATTTGGTTGCACATTGCAAGGAGCTCCCCGACTCGGGGATAAGACGAGCTAGCTCAATGAAGGTCACCTACTTGAGGTTTCCTAGCGTTTTGCGTTTGAAGCTTAGGTCAAGAATCGAAGGGAAGGTGAGGCATTCGTACGGCATGCATTTGACTGCACTTAGACTCCGGCATGCCCGTGATTTGAGCTGTTTAGTGGTCAATGAACCATATGCTACGCATCAACCTTGATAGCCTTGATAAAACTAGCAGTGAGTAGGTCAACCGGGCGCCGCTTGCATGACAAACGATCTTCAATCAGCTTGAATTCCCAGGTGCTGCAGCTTGATTCTACAATGGCCGGTCTTTGGGAGATCCAAAAAACTTCTAGCTCTGTTGGAAACCGTTGTGTACCGCCGAGTCCTAAAATGTGACCTCTTGTTTTTGTGCAGGGACTCCAGTTGGTGCTTTACCTTGCGCACTAGATTCCAGTTACGGCCATAGTAGGTATCCCTTCGATCCATTTCTCTGCTGGTTCTTAAATATCGGCTGGCAAGACCTTACCAAGGTAAATGTCACAGGAATCCAAAGACTGAGAGACTCTGAGAAGTGGTTTTATGTGGTCGGAGCCTTCAAACATACGGAAGGACTAAGCACCTTTTTCTTCACTCTCGCCCGCTTGCACCGGCAAAGCGTTGTGACCTTACAAACAAACATGACGCACACACACACGCGCGCCGAATCACGAGCCCGCTTGCCGACTTGCGCTGCGGATGGCCAATTTGCGAATTATTGCAAGTCACTAAACATGTCACACATGGGAATATATCGAATCAGGAAGCCAACCATTCTTTGAGGACTCCGATCTAAGGCAAACAGTTGGTGTGTTCATGGCCAATGCCGCCCTGTTCTGGAGGTCTGGAATCTGCCAGGCGCCAATTGTGTTTGGGACCAGTTTAGTACCAAGATTGTGACTGCGATTGTTTTCTCCGTACGCAAAAAAAAGCCGCCAGGCGCAGAGCAAACCGAGCGCCCCGGCAGAATGAAAACCAGTTGCCTTCCGCATCGGGTCGAAACTAAGGAGGTATTCAAGCAGACCTCGCGGTGGATGGACAGTGGGATGGATGTAACCCTATGACTGGGACAAGCCACCTACGAACTGGTGCAGGGTTTTGTCCACTGCTGGGTGAAAGTAGATGGTGTAATTTCTTCCTTGGATTTTAGTTGTCCCCTTACCTCAATAAAGAACCATTGTGGCATTTGCTTTCGCCCTGTGTCCAGAGCTGGGGGTCCGCACGGGAGAGGAATTGCACCCACCCGAAGCGCTAAGGCTTCGCAAGGGGTGCTTCGAAGCCGAGGAGAAGGTTGCGCATTCTCCCCAGGTGCCTTCGCATGGGGAAACGGCGGTTCACGCGGCACGAGATATGAAACAAACGGCTTCGTTGTGTTCATTGTATTACGTATTGTCAGGGTTCCCTCGACATGGCTTTTCCAAAATATGGACGGATTGGAACTTCGTGAGTTCTCGGGCCTACAGCGATCGCAATCCTTGGACAAGGGTTGGATGAGGAAGGGACAAACGATCAAGTCATAGAGACATTGTATATTGTAAGGCCATTCACCCACCGCATAGACCCGTGTTTCTCAAAAAGAGGTGCCGTTCTTTGGTCCTTTGACAGAGAACATGGTCACCAGGAGCCAGCTTGACGTGAGGAACGCACATGGTGAATACCAAAGCAGGGTTGCCATGCTAATCCAAAAACTCGGAGCATTTGTATCTCCATTCCTCACTCCACTTGTTTAAATTTCCCAGACATTTTAGTGGACAACAAGTTTGAACTTGTTTGGTCAGTCCACTGAAGTCAAATTCTTTTCGGCCCGGACCCCTGGGCGTGACCTCACCTGCCTGAAACCTTCTGGTACTCACAGGCTGGCAGATTGACCCCGGGGATTTGCCTCGTTGCTTTTCAACTTGCGGGCCGGCCGCTGACGCTTTGGTGTGGCTCAAAATAAAACAGCTGGGGTTACGCAGGTTTGAGTCTATGTTTCCATTTACCATGGGCAAACAAAACAGGGGTTTTAGTCTACGTGTCCATTTACCAGGGCAAACACAAACAGGGGTTACGCAGGCTTTCGTCTACATTTCCATAGGGCAAGCCATATTGAACCCATTTACCAAACCAAGCCATATTGGTGTACCGGTTTTTTGAGCCACACGTTGACGCTTTGGCGGTGGTTGTCCATGACGGTGGGGCCGCGTTGCCGATCTTTGCTCAAGGCCCAGAGACAAACGGCACCTCAAATGGCCATTGCCTATTGCCCGTAGATGAGTCAGTCCTAAACAAATCCCAATAGCTGTGGTGGCCGTTTTTGGGATCCCATGTTGGTTGGTCAAAACCGTTTTGGGATCCCATGTTTGCTCCGTTCTTGCTCCAGTTCTCCCATGTTTTTCTCCAGTTCCCAAATGCCTGGGGGGGGGGTGGCGAAGTGGCTGTGGTGGTCAAACCCAATGGTACCATTTTGGTTGGTAGGTGAATTCACCACCCATTTTTGGCTTCCTATTTTATTGGTTCATGTTTTTGGTTGGTCAAAACCGTTTTGGGATCCCATTTTGGTTGGTAGGTGAATTCACCACCCATTTTAGGCTTCCTATTTTAATGGTTGGATTGGTTGATGTTCACTGGGGGTACGATTTGGCTTTTGACCCATGGCCATGTGTTTGATGTGAGTCTACTTACATTTCCTGGCCTTTGTCTTGGCCGTTGCAAAACGTTCTTGGCTCGGCCGGAAAGCGGTGGACGTCGATGAGTTGTCTGATGGCACCTGGACGCAAATCGTCC